TGTAACAAACAAAGTCTTGCAACCTAGAAGAAAAGTGACGGATTCACAGGGGTTTGGCCGTGGGCCAAACGAAAATTGACAGCAGCTTCATCTTGCCGGCAGCTATTTCCCAAAGCTTGCACCGCGAAACCTTACTCTTCAGAGTGTGCAGAATATTAAGAATGGCGTGACACACTGAAGTAACTCCTACATGGCTTATAAAAATTGCAACAGCACTTGCCAACCCGTGCCCCTCCCAGCACAGCACACAGCTCTGGATACTATTCGTCTATTACATTGCAAAAAAAACTAATTGGGGCGAATCTACCCTGACTATGAACGTCCCTTAGCTCTCAGAAGACTACAAGCACCTAGAAAACTTGAGAGACCCTTACACAATCTCAGCGTGTGTACACGATTTCCATCATGACAGAACTCTTCTAGAATCACTACAAACTTGCCGTATTTTCACAACCCCATGTATCCTCATAAACCTGAGGAATTAGAAAGCGCTTACATTGCCGGGCAGCTTCAAATCCAAAACCTCGAGCCTGCAAGCTACCTAAACCAAATCCTACACCCCCCCCAAGCAAACATGAAGCCTGAAAAGCAGCCTCTGAAAGACTACCGTCCCTTTGAACGGAACCCATGTAAGAGCTTTCAAAAACGGAGGGCCCCAATATACACTCCATTGTACTAGAAACTCTTTTTTGGGAAATCCTAGGCCCAAATCCCCGACCCAATATATCCCTTCATACCCATTTAAAACCTGCACGTGTGTATCCCCAATATCGCCTGCAAAGAGGCCCCACATCTCTGCAAAACCCGCAGGCTCTTAGAGGGGAGAGTGAAACATTAAAACCCTAAACTCGATAGGCTTTGTAGGGTTTAGGGCTTCACGGTTCAACCCATATTTCCCCTAAACTCTAAATACTCTTCTACCACCCCACACACCCCTCCTAGTATCCCCTTAAGAACACCTATAGTAGCCACCTATATGATCCCTTATATGCCCCCCTTTAAGGAGTTGAGATTATGGCTCATATCCCTTCCCAGGGGCCCTGGGGGATAAAAACTCTGCCTGAAGGATGGCGCGCTGCCGCTCGCCCTCCTGCTTCGAAGCCTCGAACCTAGATGGCCAAGGGCTCAGTAATAGGGTCAAAGGGTACGGATTTAGGGTTTACGTAGTTTTAGGGTTTTGGGGTTCAGGACTAAGGGCTTGGGTCAAAGGACTAGAGCTTAAGAGTTTACGGCTAAGGTTATGGCATATCTTACAACCTCAGCTTTCAATAGTTTTGGAGCCCCACTGTGTGGGTACGGGTTAAGGATTTAGGGTGTGGGTTTGGAGTCTATATGGGAGATGGGCTTGGGCTTTAGGAGTCTGGCTTAAGGTTCAAGACTTCAGAGACCATAGGGTTCGGATCCAACTCGCATTGAACAGTACATGCTTGTTGATGGAAAGCGGCTCTTGGCAGGAACGAGATGGTTTAGAGGAGATGCAAGGTTCATTCCGGCGCAGGAAGCTTCAGGATGTTTCATACAGATTGCCAAAGGATCTCTTCAAGGATTCTGAACGCAGCATCTGCGCATTTCTACAAGAAGCACAGAATGAGGCAGGGACACGGAAAAGGTAAAGTCCAGTTTCTGCAACACTCCAACGCTTGCTGGGAGGTGTCTGTCATACCTTGCCCTCCTTAACGTTCAAACTGCACCTTTACCGTAGGTTATAGGGGTTATAGAGGGACTAAAGAAGGGTTATATAGGGGTGATATAGGGATTATATAGGGGTTTATATTGGGGTTATGTAGGGTTTAGGGCTCAGGAAAGAAAAAAAAACAAAGTGCAAGACTCCGGAAACATGCTGGCCTTCTTCCTGCCTGAGCCTAGCCCTGAAAGCTGCCTTGTAAAGACTATGCCCCGTCGGCCTCTAGAATTCTTTACCGATTTTCGACAACTTACCTCAAAGCCATACCAAAACTCTGAACTCTAAACTCTGAACCAAAGACCCACTTCTCAAAACCCTGAACTCGAAACTCTAAACCCACACTTTTTCGTCAAACTCCTAGAACCCTAAACCCTAAACCCCAATCCTAAACTCTAAGACCCTAAAAGGCAAAACCATGGGGACCAGGCTCTGCCCTGAGAGCATCAAGCTCCGCTTGCAGCTTCTTCACCTCCAGCGTTTAGGGTTTAGGGTTTAGGGTCTTTGGAGCACTACTGTAGTATAATGGAGCATATGGGGTATATAGAATGGGTAAAGGGTTTGGGGGGGGGTATGTATAATGGGGGTATATGGGGATAATGAAAAAATGGAAACTACTATAGTGAACTGGGGTTACATAGGGATAATGGAAAACAAGATGGAAATGACTGTACTGAATTGGGGTTATATTGGGATTATAATGGGGTATATATAATAGGGTTGTATTGGGACAAGGGAAAAGCAAGTGGAAACCCCTAAATTACCTAGCTTCGAGGAGGCTCAGAGGACTCGGTTTTAGGGTTTTAGGGTTTTGGGTCGACTATGGCATTAAGTATAGGTTCACCCTGAATTAAAACTGATTCAGGGTAGAATAAATGGGGCTAGCAAGGGAAACCCATCAACTAGGATTGTACCAGTCTCGTCATGTAGAGCTGGGCAGCACTTGGTGCCTGAATCGAATTATGACTCCGTTAGGACTCCTGCCAAAAGGTTTGGCGCACGTCTGTTATGCGGTACGGCAGGGCACGTTCAAAAGCTTTCTTGATGGATACTAAGTCCTGATGCAGAGGATAGCATACTGGACTCGTGGAGGCAGGTGCGGAGAGGATCAGGGGGAAGTATACGCAGGGTTGTCTACGTTGTCCGTCTGAGCCTGAGGCACAAACACCCCACACACTAAACCCACAACCCTGAACCAGCTCATCGGCACCATAAGCATGTTCTTATGAATTGAATCGATGGCCAGCTCTAGAGTCGAGTTCTGGATGTGATTCATGATGTCGGGCTGTCGGGCAGAGGCAAGAGGCTTCAAAGTAATTATAATAATGATAAGAGCAGTAGTTTTAGTCGTTTTGTTATTCATATTATTAATTATCAGTAGTAGTGGTAGTGGTGATAAGAATAATGTAAATGATACTAAGAAGAATAATGATATTGACGGGCCTCAAGTGTTTGCGTCCTGTGTTTTTTTGTGTCAATCCAGGGGAGGGCCTCAAAAGGACCCCGGACATGTCTTAACAATGGCGAAGCTCAGGTCAAGCATTAGTGCTTAGGTTCGGTGATTCCCCGTTAGAGCAAAAGTCACCCTAAGAGGTTTGGGGTCATGATAGCCCTGAATCTCCCCTTGAAGGACACTTACTTCCAGGGGAACTGACATAAGGTTTAGGGTTTGGATTACGCCAACCCCTTCCTGGAGAAATAGCCCCAAACACGGAATTAACAGGGCCTCCATACACCTACAATAGTCCCCTGGTACCCCTTACTGGATGGGGGATTGACCCAACCTATATTGTGGCACAAACCCCAAACCTTAAACCCTAAACCCTAATTTCAGAAACCCTTTGAACCCTGAGATTGACTTCAGGCTGAAGATACGTCTCATGTTGCTTAAAATTCCATGTAAGCTGCAGTCTAAACTCCTTCAAGGGGGGGTATATAGGGGATTATGCATGGTTTTGAGGCTTAGGGTTTGGCATGTAGGGTTTAGGGTCCAAACTCCTTCAAGGGGATTCTATAGGGGAGTATTGTAGGGGTTATGAAGAGGGATACCCTAAACCCTAAACCCTAAACCCTAAACCCTAAGCCGTGTAGACCCTTAGTTCATGTCAAGGCATGAGTCCGATGATTGTTGGAATGTCCTTCAGAGGTGGGTAGATTTTCGTGCTACCCTCATATAGGGTTTAGGGTTAAGGGTTAATGGTTTAGGGTGTAGGGTTTAGGCCCACAAACTATGGCCCATTGTGGAGAACTCCCAAAAAATGGACCCCCCCCTCAATTTTGGAACCTCCCCCTACACCTAAACCCTGAACCCGAAGCCCTTGATCCTAAACCCTAAGTCCCAATTGCTAGATCCTAAACCCTCAGACCTAAATCCTAGACGCTTAACTCTAAATCCTAAGGCCTAGCTAAGCCCTAAATCCCAAACCCTCAGCCCTAAATCCTAAACCCTAAGCCCTAAATCCTGACCCTAAACCCTAAGCCCTGAGTCCTAGACCTTAAATCCTGAACCCCTAACTCTAAATCCTAAGCCCTAGGTCCTAAGCCTTAAATCCTAAACCCTGAGCCCAAAGTCCAAAACAATAAACCCTAAACCGCGGGGGAGTTTGAGACCTGGTCCTGAGCAGAGGTATCCACTACGGACACTTTCCTGGCCAGGCGGCTGTAGCTCAAGAAAGGGATAACATAGGACCCAGAAAACTTGGGGTTTACGGTTTGGGGTTTAGGGTTTAGGATTTAGGGTTTAGGGGTTTAGGATTTAGGGTTTTGGGATTTGGGGTTTAGGGGTTTAGGGTTGAGGATTGCAAGAAGGGGGCCCTCATTAACTTACCAGAAGCTTTAAGGCTTAGGGTTCACGATTCCATCAGGAACCCTTTGAACATTTCCTTTTTTGCTTAGGGGCAAGCCTTTAGACTGGAGACATCATTTCCAAAGACAAGGCGACTTCGAACTGACGCAAGGAAAAATGGTCCTACACATGCAGGAGGTGCAAAGCCTCAACCATTGCAAATGGGGGGGGGTCCGCAAGGCGAGGGAAGTTGGCTCCCGTAAGGCCCGTCACCGAGCATTTTGCTAGGCTTAAGAACGTTGTATCGTTTGGTTATGTCAATACCAACCGTAACGGTATGAGAATGAGCAGCACATAAACGGAGATAGTCGATGGCAGCCATTTTTGATGTGCCACTAATGAGAACACAGCAAAAGCGCAACTCTTGTAGTGCTCAGATCTTTCTAGAGAATAAGATGGACCGAGTTCAAAAAATGACCTCCTTAGTAGGACCGATAGTGCCAAGAAACACCTCGAAGACCTTAACCCTGAACCCTAGGTCCTCGGCGGCGGTGGGCGCTTGTCGATGCCCTCGCTCAGCTTCGCTTGCAACAGAGCATCCTCCTCAGCGTTAAGAGACATACGTTTTAGAGTTCACGGTTTAAGCTATACACGATCTAGGGGTTGTCTTGCTAGTGACTAGTAGGCGTTCGGGGTAATGGGCTGCAAAGAAGTCTTGCAGGGATTGTACAGGGACTACTATAGAGACCCCTTCCCTTAAGCCTGGCAAAAACACACAAATAGTTTACGGTCTATCATCTAGAGCCTGGGCTGCGGTTGGGACCCTATTCTGTGGTCCTCCCGCAGTCTTGGCTCAAGACCATGTAAAAGCTTGTGAGGGGCATAGGCATTAGGATTTAGGGCTGTCGACCTGAAACCCCTCTCCCAATAATAAATCCCCACTCCCTGATATTCAATATGTCTCCAATGTATAAGTTCTCTTCTAAGTAGTCTTACTGGTCCTTGGTGGGGAATATCAGATACACCCCGTATAATATTTTCCCTAATTCCCTACTGACCCTAAACCCTAACCCCTAAACCCTATACATATATATATATACCCTAATTCCCTACTAACCCCCAGTAAACCCTATACATATATACATATATATATATATACCCTAATTCCCTACACACCCCCAGTAAGATCCAGTAAGTAGTGTCATGGGCCTCAGTCCAGCTTTGTAGGCTCTAGGTTTGCTAGGCCTGGGCTCTTGTGCCCACAGGCATGGACCTGCTCCCTCAGCTTCCGGATATGTACTGTGGGGATATAGGGGTTTAGGGTTGGGGGGTTTAGGGTTTACGGGTTTAGGATTCAAGGGGTTTAGGGTTTAGGGGTATATTGGAGAATCAAATGGAAAGAGCATGGAAAATGGGATGGCAACTACGATATCTTTAGGCCTGAACTGTCATAGCAGAGAATGGAAATCAATCAAAAAGCAGCATTGTATGGAGGTTCATGGGGCTGATACTGAAAATGCTGCATGACCCTGAGTACCTTGCACCTTGAAAACTATCGCAGTTTAGTACACCAAAGTCAGGCACGATTTGTAGCATCCACAAGCTCGCACCAACTAGAGTGAGTCACTGCAAACAGGGCCCTGCAGAACGTATTGCAAGTAAGGCAGATTAGCCCTATACCCCAAGCCCTGAACACGAATCCTGAAGCACAAAACCCTAAGCTCTAGACCCTCAGTCCTAAACCCTAAGCCCTAAACCCTAAACCCAAGCACATGTGCATGATTGACATTACCGGGCGCGGCACCAGCTGCTCTCTCAGCTTCTCTAACCTGGTGGTTTCCCAAAATCAGGGTACTCTTCAAAGGTTTAGGATTTAGTGTTTGCCAAAATTGGGGGGAATATGTGGGATAATGGAAGAGAAAATGGAAGCTACTATCTAGGGGTTTAGGGTTTTAGGGGATAAGGGGTACATACTACTGGGAAAATGGAAGAGAAAACGGAAACTACTATAGGTTTGCCAATACTTCCAGAGAAGTCCCATCCTGAACTCAAGCTTCACGTGGGCCGCAGAGAAAATGGGCTACGCCCCGCATGTATCAATTGCAGACCCTCGATTATCAAGGAGACCTGGCAGGGCTGCAACACAGACAAGAGGCTTCGGCTAGCCGCTGCCAAGAAAGCCCTTACCTAGACAAATCGCCTGCAAAACTTGGCAGCTTTGCTGAGGCCAGGAGTGACATCTTCACATCAGGGTTTCCACAAATCAGGGGTCCTGTGTTGGGGGGGTACCTGCAACCAGGATGACAGTATGTTGGAGTCTATCTTGGGGCGCCCCACTTTTGCTAACCACTAACCCCAACAGCAACAGCCACAGCAAGAGCAAAGCAGAACAGGAACAAGCGTGGGGTTGCATCTTGAAGCCCAATGGGGGGAAATCATAAGTTGAAGCTAAAGAAACTCCTTCTTTGGATCTGAGCTGGAGTCCACTACAGTTCAACCAAGAATCAAAACCATATTACAGCCTGTTGTGCTTACCCTACTTTCCACCCAAACTGGTGAGCCCCTTGCTGTACCACAGACCCTAAACCCATGCCGGCTATGTCTATTGAACCTGGAGGCTTGTTTGGAAACATCTTGCGCTTGCATGGAAGTACCATGCAAGAAGCCCATGCCCCACTCTTACGTTAGAGGGTTTCACACTTGTACCCCCTAGGGTTGTACCCCTTGGTTTTGGGATCCTTGTAATGGTCTAGGAGACGACACTGGCAATATTAGGGGTATATTGGGGAAACCTTTTATGGGTACGGCCTTAGGGGTACAACCCAAGAACCCTTGATACATACTCCTGCTATTCCAATGGTAACAGACATGTTGACAGTAGCCCATATAGGTTTGGCACTCTGTCTGGGCATCCGTCAGCTGGTTCATCAGCAGCTGTCTGGCAAGGGGCACCAGTTAATTTAGGGTTTTGCTTCTGGCGACTAAACCCTGAGGGTTTTGGTAAAAAGCAAAAAAAAAAGCAACCTTTTTGAAACCCTTAACCGTAGGGGTTCAAAATTAGGTCCATACCCCCTTTTTTAATCCCTGCATAACCCCCTTTCTTCTTCTTCTTCTTCCTCTCCAGGCGCTAGGAAGCCCTACGACTTCCCCGGGGCACAGGCCCGCACCCACAAGTCTATTCCGTCAACCCCCTTTCTCTCTCTCTTTCTCTTCTTCTTCTATGGGCTATGCAAGACCCTAAGGCCCTGCCGGGGCGAATCTCTCTCTCTCTCTCTCGCTCTCTGCCTGCATGCAGAAGGCCAAGAGACCCCGTCGGAGTTCCACAGAACGAGTTTAGACTATAGCTCATTTGTAGACTTCTAATTTCAATGCAGACCCTGTTGTCTCGCATCTGGGAGTTAGCATGTTCAGGGAAACCCTTAACCCTCAACCCTTTTTATCCCTATCTATTACATACCGCGATAAATCCCTGCATGTCCAAACCCTAAACCTTAAACCCTAAGCCCGATATATCCCATATAATCCGCCTTAAACGGAGGGGATCCTTAAAGCCACATCTGCGGATTGCAACGGGAAGCTGGGGGCCCCTATTTGGGGGTCCCCTTTTAAGGGGGCTGCAGGGGATATATAGGAAACCTATTAAAAAATATGTAAGGATATATAGGCTAGGGTTTAGGGTTTCCCTAAATTAGGGGCCCCATAATAAGGATGGATCTATATTTGGGTCCCCTTTTTTGGGAAACTACCATTTAACAGTCTAGATGGAAAAGCTGAGAAACTCTGATCTACACAGCACATCACCTGAAGCAGTGTGCCCACTCTTCCATGTCAACCGAAACGGCAGCAGGCGGTGCATAAACTGCAAAAGAAGCTGCCGAGTTCCTAGGACACGCCTCCAAGCCTCTCCAAACCAAAGAACCAGTGCGTGACAAGCGTTGTAACCTCTGGAGCAGCCCAACACAAAGTTTGTACAACTCATGCCCTTGCCACATTGTCTCCCCAGCTGCCGCCGCACCTCATGAAGGAACGCATTGGTTGCAAACGAGGGGTGTAAGTGTAGGGTTTGAACGTGCAAGCCACTGAAATACCTTTCTTTGTGAGGAAGAAGGGGATCTCAGGAGGATCCCCAATGGCGCAATGTCTTTCCAAGACGCCTTTACAAGGACGAGGGGGCAGCCTTCAATGTCAGGAAATCAGATTAGTGAAAAAGCGCTCATGCCAGTCTCAGGCGCGAATGCCTTTTCCAAAACCTTCACAGCGAAACAGACTCGACATGGAAACATGCCTACCATCCCAAACACAAAAACGATGAAAGTCGGGCAAGTAGCGGTAAACGAGAAACCCTCGTCAACAATGTTTGGGCGTCGACATGGTGGATGGGCAAAAGAACTCCACTTTCTGACTTCTACTGGGCACTCTCCCAAAGCTTCAGCAACAAGACACTCATTGTCGTCAGAAAGTCCACAAAGGGATCCATAATCTTTAGCAACCTCATATGATTTCGAGCAGTCACGACTGTCGCTGGGACATCCGGAGCCAAGCTTCACACCCTTTGTCAGGGCAATCTTCATGTTCTCTTGCATGGCTGCCTCTAAAATCATGGGCTACATGGGCAACTCCTTCAACCTCGAGTCCCCTTCTATACCGCAGGACCACCATCCTGGTTCTATTGACTCCTTTTGGGGGTTGGCGCGAAGATCTTGCAGAAGATTTGTGGATTGACACAGTGATGGTACCAGGATGGAATGCTGATGACAAGCTTTCATTCATGTGGCTTCATAATTCTGGGCTAGCAGGTGTTCAGGCGATGAAAGCAAGTTGCTGATTGCCGCCACGCCCATCAACAGGGTACGTGTGGCAAGGGGGCGAGGGAGATATGTTAGGTGGACCCCCCATCCAGTAATAGTGACTATAGGGGATAATAGGGATTGTATTAGGGTCCTCTTCTATTCCTATTATACCACTATTACAGGGTGGGGGGTCCTCCTAAGAGATATGTCTGGACCTTTGGGGGTCAGGGACTTTTAGGTGGCGGGTGTCATGAATGAAAAACTAGGATTGAACCTAGTAATATAGGGATAATGGAAAAGAAAATGGAAACTACTATATTAAAATAGGGTATATATTGGGGTTATATTGGGGTTATATTGGGTAGTGGTGTTTATTATTGCGGAGATGGGATGACCGTTCCCTGACGCACATGCAGAACCGTCCAAGGAGCCCTCACCCCCCAAACCTATTTGGGTATTTTCCAAAATTAGGGGTACCATTTTAGGGGTCCCCATAATAAGGACTATAGTATATTGAGTCTATATTGGGGTCCCCTCATTTAGGGAAACTACCATTTCCAGCGTTTGTGATTCTGTTCCGTGGTGCGCTCCTACTGAAGCTGGTGCTAAAGGTACCAGCAGCCACCTTAGTTGTGCCAAGACATTGCCAAAACTAAGTAGGAGCGCTACAGCTTTAGAATCTTCTCTCAGACCCACTGTAGCAGAAACAGGTCCGAAAACTTATTTGAAATAGATACGGTTCACAGTCACAGAGCCCCCTAGAGACCTATTCTTGTAGGCGCAAATTTTTAGCGCTAATTCTGAGAAAGATTCATGAGAGCACTACGTTGCTAGGAAGGTCATGAGGGCTCTGCACTGAAGAGCCAAACTCCCCTTCCATCACAAGCCTGCAAAAAAATATGACCCCCCTCGGGTCACTACCCCTTGCAATAACAGTTACCACGATGGATAACAGGAGTTCTCATAGCCCCTTTCTGAAGCCCCAGTTAAGGACAGTTACTGTGGTGAGAATGACCCACATGATCCAAAACCCTAAACCCTAACCCCTAAAGTGCCACAAAGCCCAATCTGATGTCCATTATCCCAATATAACCCCTATATAAACCTTATATAACCCCTATAATCCTGTAATCCCTGTAGCATTTCCTATATAATCCATACATGACTTTAATGAGCCCACCTTGAAGTACTCCTGCGTCATCGGGTCCAAGGCTATCTCCGGCTGGAAACCTTTGCATGCCATGGTCTCGAAGCTGGTACAAGACATGAGGGTTTAGGGTTTAGGGCTTAGGGTTGCAGATGAAAAAGCTGTAGGCCAAAAGAACCCACAAGCAAGACATTGGCAGAAGTAGCACAAGCACATCATCAAGGAAACTCCTCATGTCTATGAATTCCTAGTGAGGTTGGTTGAGGAAGCCAAAACCATACTCTTCAACACAAAGTTGTCCAGGGATGGTTAAGGGTTTAGGGTTTAGGGTTTAGGGTATCAGATATAGTTAGGGGACGGAAAGAACATGGAAGCTAGCGTATTCAAAGATCCAAAGTGATTATGGGTTCTTGCATTTGAGGTCAGCATGCATCTTTTGTATACCCTATAATACCCTTCGGGAAATCCCTGTAGAAAGGCCAAGGGTCCACATTAGAGGGCCAACTTAGATCTATGCATGGCAGCGCAAAAAGTGCGGGCCCCACGCCACCCATAAGGATGTGGCATTTTTCCAACATGGGGAGACCCCAATATAAACCCCAAAATATCATGATCTTTATTATGGGGACCCCAAAATGGTACCCTTAATCCTAGGAATATCCCAGTTCTTCCCTTGGGCCGCTGCGGTAAATGCTGTGGTCGCCGCCGTCCCCCTCATCCGAAATCTCTGCAAGGGCCGCCTGGAGAGCAACTACTGCGACCAGCTCCAGGTAAGGTTTGGGATCCGAGGTCCAAAGCAGTTTCAATCAATGCCCTAAGCCCTAAATAGTAGTTGGACCCATAGTAGTTTCCATTGTATTTTTCTATGATCCCTAAATAACTCCTAGATGATCGTTATATAACCCCCATGCGAAGTCGAAGTCCTAAATAGTCCAAAGATGATCCCTGCATAAAATCCGCAGCATGCAGCCCTCAGCCAAAGGAGCGCCACCTGCATTGAGCTGCTTAGCGTGCCGCTGCGGATGCGGTCCTCCAGTCGATTTGGACTTTGAGTTGCTACATGTGGCTTCGGTCAGGTGATGCAGGTGAGGGCTTGAGATCTGTGAAATACGAACACATCCAGCTTCGGGGCAAAAGGCAGCAGGAACTGTCTTAATCCCTGCCCTGTCCCGAAGCTCTGCGACTTCAGCAAGGTACTGCCTGCGGCAGGTCGGCATACAGTTTCCACATGCCTGTTCCGGACATTCCCAGAGTAGCCGTGGCAGCGCTCGCCTCTTTTTTCAGACGATGCGTCCTGAAGGTCCGGTTGACGAACAGGGGTTGTCGCATGAGAGTGGCCGAAGCCACGAGCTAGGAAGTGACTCTGCACCCCAGCTCGGATCTTCAGCTCTATGCAGCTGGAAGCCGAGTCCTAGATGTTTTATGTATACTAGTGATAGTAGTAACAATAAGAATAACAGTAGTGATAATAATGTGAAGATTGTCCAGTGAGGGCCTGGCTTCCCGAGAAAAATTTGACCTGCATAAGACCTACTTTCGAGTTTCGAGTTCTGTGCCGGTGGCTCTTAAGGCATAATTTCTGGCTTCTGAGAAGTCTGTACAAATTGCCTGAGCACTCCTAACACGCAGATGCAAATGGCATTCTTAAACATAGCAGCCTTTGTGTTCTCAAGCTGCTGTGGGCGCCGCATCCCCCGTCAGCCGAATCAAATGACGAAGTTCACCATGGCACGGCTGGCCCGCCGTTCCTGCTGCTCAAGAAAGGCTTTGTGAGCCGCATGTGCACAGGACTCCTCGTTCACCATTTGGAGGTTCCCCATGGGCAAGCCCACGGATGGTCGCCGTCCAAGCAGCACTGGGAAGGTTGGCTCCAACGCGACTCGCGGAGTTGGCACGCAGCGATCTTCCTGTCGCGATTTACGCGCCAAGACCGCTGCTCGCGTGGCCATGGCCAAAGCCATTGGATCCTCCAGGCTGAGGCTGGGAGGGCTGGCCTCCGAGCGCGGACGGGGCTGGAATCCACCGAGCATTGAGTTGCCACAGTTGCCCATAAGCGGGCCGAGACCGCGGGCACTCAGCAAGCTGCTGGCATTGCCAACAAAGGTGGTTCCACTCTCACCGTCGGCAAAGTGCACGGACTTCTGGCGAGCAGCGCCGCTCTTGGGAACTCGCTTGACCTCTTCTGCTGGGAAAAAGCTCAACCCAGAGCAAGCTGGGCTCAAAGGACTCAAAGGCGACTGAGGCGATTTGGGCGTCTTCGGGGTCTTCGGGGTCATGGGAGTGCGCACGGACCTTGGCGATGGTGCATGGGCCACGATGTTCTTGGAGGCCTGAGAGAGGAATCGCAAAGAGAGCGCCATGGCAGCCTGTCTTACAACCCAGTATCACCTTAAATAGGCCGGTAGCTTTGTTAGCCCACCAGATGCAACCTGGGCCAAGATGCACAGTCAGCTTGCAACCCTGCAACACCTCACCTCTTGCTTTTCTGTCTCCCACAACACAGCAAAAAAAAGTCCCAAGACGTTGGTTTCTGCAACAAATGCAACTCGAAAAAGCAAGGCCTGCGAACTTCCATCAAGGTCTTCATCAGATCCTGCCATCCACAAGACCATTGGGAGAGAGAAGCAGAATCGGTTTCGAAATGTGCTGACAGTTCCTGCTCTTGGGTGAAAGCCCGATACCAACTAGAGTAACTAGAGTGTAGCTAGTAGCCTGTCTATTGGCGCAGCTGGCATTGCAACATTGACAGCTTTTGCGAGACATGCAAGCATGACGATGCTGTTGACGTAGGTCTTTCAGCACCAGTACTTCTCACAACCAAATGGTAGTTTCTCAAAACAAGGGGACCCAATATAGACCCCAAAATACTAGTCCTTATTATGGGGACCCCCAAAGTGGTATCCCTAATTTTGGGAAACCCCCAAATATGCTTCGGAGTGAGTCCTCATACTTTTCCTTGAAGCCTCGCTCCACCTCATCCATGACCGGCAGCTTTTCGTTGACGACAGCCTGGCACAATGCAGTCTGAAGAGGAGGGTTCAGGCCTGCGTCATTACGTGGTCTTGATCTTGTACGCCCCAAGTTTGGTGAGAATCCAGATTAGCACGCTCTGTCCCCTAGTCCGCGCAAACTCGCACAATCATCATATTCTTCCAGAATGGTATCTGCAACTTCTTGTAGTTGGTTGGCCCGCAGCAAATCAAAGGCACGAGGACCTCGCCGCATCCGGGCTTTGAATATGCCACTCTGAATACTACTTTGGAGAATGCATTCTATTTTTCCCTGCCGGGCCTAAACTTATGAACACAACTCACAGAGCGCTGTGAAACATTGGCAGTCACATACAGCGCCTCCCAGGTCAGGATCAAAACCGTCCAAGCCATGTCCTGCAACCAGCAGAGGGTATTCAATACTGAGGTGCCTTGAGATCGAATTGTCTTCAGGTTTTGTGCCCTGCTGGATGCAGGCCTCCATTACTGCAGAACCCTAGGGTATGCAACCCCAATTTGGACACCTACTCAATGATGGAAATCTGTGATCTGCACCATGCTACCACGTAAAGCAGCATGATTAAGGCCCTTGCTGTGGGGTCTTCCCATTGGCTAGCTTGCAGATTTGAAAGTTAGCAATACTATTCACTCGTTGACCCTGCCTAGTAGAGAACGCGATGGTCCCCCAAACCGTATATGGCAGGATTGCTATGTCTGGTCGTCCCCCACAAATTGGAGACCGAGATTTACACTCACCAACACTAAGGAAGCTTACATACACTGACCAGAAACCAAAACCCTACTTCATGTGGGATTTGGTCAATCCTCTACAAAACACGAATTCGATTACGGCTTGAGGTTCGACAAATTTCTCATTGAACACGAGAGCTGCAGGGCTGCATGCTCACGATTTCCGCGTACAGCTTTTCCACTTCTTTCAAACGGTCTGACTACCCATGCAAGACCCTAAACCCTAAAACCTGGGCCCCTAAACCCTTAAACCCCTAACCCTATAAACCCCTAAACGCCTAAAAAGCTGAACACCAAACCCCTAAACCCTTCAACCCCTCAACCCCTAAACCCTAAACCCCTAAATTCTGGCATTCCTGAGAGCCTGTCTCGAGAAGAATCCCTCCACGATCCTTATACGCCCCTACTGGCTACCCATCTAACCTCAGTCCAAGCCCCATATGAGCTAGAACGTCTAAAAACTTTCAAAGGGGGGTTATATAGGGTAGCATGTAGTGGAGCACTATAGTGGTTATTAAATGGGATACTAGGGGTTAAGACGCCCCACAAGTGTTCTTGCCAATGTTTTTTCAACACTGGTGACACCAGGGAATTGTTCAGAGACTATGATTATGTCAAGAACCTGGAGCTTAGGGCTTAGGGTTTCTACTGCTGCAACCCCAAGACTTTGAACCCGAAACCCCAATAGTTCTTCCATTCTCCCACTATAACCCCAATATATACCCCATATGGGGGACTGTCAAAATTATGGTCCCTTTTTGGGTCCCTATTATAATACGCTGCCTAATACGGGGCCTAATTTAGGGGACCCAAAAAGGGACCATAATTTTGACAATCCCCCATATAACCCCTGTATAAGTTCCTTTATAAGCTAGTTTCCACTTTCTTTTCCATTATGCCAATATAACCCCTTTAGAGCCTTCGAGCTTCTGCAACCCATTGGAGTTATATTGGGATCATGGAGACTACTATATGATAATAGGGTATATAGATATATAGGGGTTATATAGGGATTATAGTGGCCATATTGGGATAATGGAAAAGAAAATGGAAACTACAGGGGTTATAGGGTTTCTACGGGGTTTGAAATAAGGATTATACGCTTTATATATATATATATATATCTGTATATATGAGCTGTAGTCTAAACTCCTAGTATCTCCATTAATAACCCATATAACAGTCCCCTATATAATCTGCTATAGAACCCCCATTTAAGGAGTTTAGACTGTTGTACATATATATTTGCTCATTTATTCATATATACAACACCTTCTGACAATTTGCCCGAAGCCCTTGCAGTCCATCAAGGTGCTCAGCGTGAAATTCTTGCTCTGGCCAAGCTGCACGAACTTCTGTGTGAACCTGACTGCTGGAAAGCTAGGAGTGAAATTGCCCACATTTAGGGTTTAGGGTTTAGAGTTTAGGGTTTAGGGTTTGCATACAGTCTGTGTGCAGGGCACATGAGGTTCTGATTTCGCACTTTTGCCCGATAGATAGGTCTGGAAATCATCTGAAGGGATTACTTGGGTGCATTCCCTCCAAGCTTGCCTCAAGCCGCACATGGCTGAGGACCTGGCAAAGCCACCAGATCATTCAGCTTGGGGTCTTGGTTCATAAAGTCCTCAAGATGCGCAGCAGTGCTGAAAATGATTGACACATCCTTCTCTTCCTGTATAAATCCTAAAACCCTAAACCCAAAACCCCAAACCCTAAACCCTGTACAGAAAGGTGACGGCCTGGAATTGCTGCTTGACAGAGGACATGACTAGGTTGCTGTTAAGGAACTTAATTTAAGTTACCATGATGCATATACATACTAAATAATAAGGTTTCCCCAATATAGTAACCCCAAACCCTAAACCCTAACTGCCGTATCATAGCCCAGTATAGTGACTTAACTTAAGTTCCTTACAGCCGTACAGCAACCCAGATGACCCTGCAAGGCTCACGGGGGTCCTTCATGGCACGCTTCCATCCGGCAATCCTCAGCGGGACTGCTTTCAGACCCATGATAAGGTGAAAGATAATGATAATAATAGTAAGGAATAAAAACCGTAATAGCAGTAACAGCAATAATCGTAGCAAAAATATTCAGAATTATGTGATAGGCATCGCCCTCAATATGTATGAAGAGCACATGGTTCTCCCTCTGCAGAATGGTACCCACCAGGCTCCGTGATGCATTCCGCAACTCACAGCTCATTAAAATACCCCACCGTGTCCACTCCTCAGGGTCGGACTTCTTTATCTTCTCCGGCACTTCACCATCTGGCCACTTCCTGGGCAAATCTCAAAACTCCAACGTCAGCGCATGAAGTGCTCGGCTGAATTTAACTCAACACCGTAAAGTTCTGCTCGAAACCATGTTTGGCCATGCTCTGCATGACGCCACCGGCTTGCTTTGGTTTAAATCTCGTAGCTTTGAAGCTGCAATTCCCCACGCGACAACCATACAAGAAGGGCAACTGGGGCATCACAATCGACGCCTACCCAGCACGAAATGGAAACCGGGCTACCTGCTGACTATCTTCAGACGCAGATTGAAGCCACCACCACATCAGAGGAAAAGCACCGAAGGCATAGCCGTTGCATTGAGGATTTAACAAATGCTCGCCAGCATTCCTTTACAACGGAGTCGCACGACTGCATCTTTGCTCACACTTCTCGGGACCCAGCCGGTCGTGCCAGCCGCGTGCAGCTGCCCGCGACTCCTCGATGGTGCGCCTCAGGCAACGAATGCCGCCAAGGCACATCTGCAGGGTGCAGGATAGCTTCGAGTTTGGACAGATCCCGAACCGACACTCAGCTGGCTTTGTCCAAGGGAAGGATGGCATTCCAACATGGTTTTAAGTGTCTCACCTGTGCTTGAACGTGTGCGCGCATTTGCACGCACACTAATTCGTCCTTCTGCTGGCAGACAAGCGGCTTTCCTTCTTCCAGCAACGCATATGCCTTCATCCCGGCATGCCGCGCACATCCGGACAAGGATTTCTTGCGCACAAAGTTTTTTTGCCGACATGCGACAGCTGTGGGTCTGTTGTTTACATGGGGTAATGCGACATGACCGCATCACTCCCTTGCTCTACGGGATTTCATGTGCTCTTTGATCAGCCTTACACGTAACACGGGAAATTCTGATATGCAGGGGCTGGTTGCAAGTATTGAGCAGCTGTACATGTTGCAGCCAACGTCCAACCTGGCGAGCGAGGACGATGGGGGACTCCAACAACACGTCAGGGCAAGACTACGCATCACTCATCTCAAAAGCTGGTTCTCCAATGCGCAAACCGTGGAGACTGCCTTTGCATGCCTGAAATCCAAAATCCTCCGGACTATTGGACTTTTTTGGTGACAACTGCGCTCTCAGGAGAGCATGCAACGTGCATGAAATGTCAAAAGACTCTCGACGAAGCCAGCGTAGGGAGACGGAACGCAACAAGTTTCAAGTCATGAACTCTGCATGCACAAATCCCAAGTTCAGGAACTCTGGGATCCAACAATTGGAGGCAAAGGATGGATACCGTTCCCCTTGAGTTTGGAAAAGACTGTGTGGATCAGAGTTCGCAATGCTTACTCAACCCTCGGTCTAATTGATCAGCTCTTTATCGTAAATAAAGAGAAGAGAAATTCTCATCAGCAGTAATCTGTTCCATCATCGAGAACCCAGCATGGAGCCTGATTGCTTTGGGGGCATCCTCTAGCTCCTTTTCGGATGGCAGCCACACGCATCACAAACCTTCTGCTCAAAATACCAGTGGGAAACCGCAGATTCAACCGTGCTGTTTGGCTTCAAAAAGCGCCCTGCGCAACCGCGTTGCGAAATCATGGGCAACGTCTCTCGACTCAGGATCTATCAAAGAGCTTCCGTGTGAGCATCATCTAATCGGCGAACTTTGGCGTGCAAATTCTATTAATCCTCTGCGGCTCCCTACTCCCTACGCTTCTGACCGGCACTTGAAAGAAGCAACCAACATTAGGCAACCTGGAACAATGTAGCTGGATACTTCTTGGAGTAGGGCATGGCTGCATCGTTCGGCAACCTACGCAATGTGGCCAACTGCTTCTCTTTCTAATGATTACATCACGACCCGTGATCGTCTCGCCAAACTCACTGGAAATGTTTCTTGTTTTGCCGCACGCGCTCCGATTGGTGCCAGTAACTTGCCTTGTGCTCTGCAAGTCTCAGTCATCTCCGAAGCCTGCGCACAAAGCGTATGGCAAAATTCATCATCACCTCTCTGCAAGACCCTAAATTCTAAACAAGCCCAAGCAGTAAACCCGACCCCAAAGCCTTAGACAACTTTAAGCCATAGAGACGCCCAAGCCCCAAATCTTGAACAGCCCCAAAGCCCCAAGCAGCCCTGAGGCCCTAGATCCTAAGCGGCTGCATGCCATAAATGTCATCACATGGAAGGCCATGAAAAGGAGCAAAGCGCAATCGGCACCCCGCTCCCCGTGACTGTGAGCATTTTTTAAACGCGACAACAGTATGCAACAATATGAGGCGAGGACAGCTGCGAGCATCATGATGAGGACCACATCGATCCATGGACTTTGGTACTCTTGAGACGCAGGGAACAATAAGTGACGACAGCCAAGAATGGCGTCATTGAGGGGCCAAAAACGATGATGGTTGCGAGGATGGCGATCCTGGCACAACGACGCCAAATATGCTCATTCTCCTTCTCGCCTGCACCACACACCTATTTGGGCGGCAAAGGCTATGAANNAAGCAGCCAAACTTATCGATGCTCTGGGCATGCTCGGTCGGGCTTGGTGCGTGGCACTCTGGCACAAGCCATTGGTATCATGCCATTTACATCAAGCAAGGTAACGATCTCAATTCTGGGTCTTTGACTGAAGGCTGGAACGATGCCCACAGGCGCCAAACTCTGGCCCTCTGCCTGCGGCGATGGAGATGCCAGCCTGGTGGGACCCCCAGTGTAACGGCCTTCAAGCTCCTCACAAGGAGGCTCTCAGCCTGCGCGGAGCTCTCTCTGACCGTTCACGACCAAGTTGTCCCTTGCCCCTACCAATCAAGAGCACGGATCACAATAGGGGAAAGGGATTGGATGTTGAAATTTTTGGGGGAAGAGATTACCAAGAAAACCATGACATAGTGAGCATGCGCCCTTTTGCTTTCCTGGCAGGCATGGGAGGAAGCGGCTCCGAGGTGCACTTGAGGACCGGAAGGACGCAAAAGATTACCAGAATCTCTTCACAGCGGGCCAACAGATTGTGAAAAGATCTCAAAGGGACATCCCGGGAATCCTCTGCATAAAGTGTTTCTCCTTCCCAAAGGTTCAACACTGGTTGAGGGCAACCAACTGCACCCTGCCTGCGGGAGTCTTCCAAATCGTAGCTGTAGTCCTACTAGATTCAATGACTGCTATAGCAAGAGTATCCCACCTTGATATAAGAATTCCCTAACCGCTACATGCTAAACCCAAAAAAGAATTAAAAATTATTTGGAAACTTCCCAGTCAATACAGGTCCATGCCTTCCCTGAAGACTAGTGACTAGGATTCTTTGGTGTATATGTATTTACATATGTGTATAGATCTACATATATATGTTTATGAACACCCCCCCATGATCCACCGACCCCCTGAAAACACTGTGAATACCAATTAAACCAAGCATTTTCGCATGATCGGATTTTGGACACGCCCCAAGTTCGGATTGGATTTTATTGTACTTGGTATTCTGATCCATATAAACTATTTCCCTATCGATCGCTTGAACCCTGAAAGCTAGCTCTGGCCGGGAGGTGTGGGGGGAAGTTACAGTTGGGCTCCATGAAGAGAGTTGCCTCAGCCCAGCCTCGGCAGCTCTCAGCCGTGGCCGGCAGGGTTCAGGCCAAAAACTGTCCTTGAAAAAGCGGGCTTGGGATTTGAGCTAGGGATTCAGGGCTTGGGGTTTCGGATGATATGGGGTTCGACTGCAAGCAACTATCAACTTGGTATAAAGTTGGGGCGACATACCTTTGCCAAAAGGGCCACTGCTTGGCTCTGCTAATCCTGAATGAGGTTTAGAAAATAGCTCTTAGGGCTGCATCATGATTGGAGGTTTCTTTAGGATTATGTAGGTAATATGGGTCTAAAGTGGAGAGACCTGGGTATACGGCCGAGAAGTGGGGGAGCGAATTTAAGCATAAGTATGGGAGCATGCATTGAAGTAGCATTGTGGGCATCTCAGCAGAAAGCGGCTGCTCTGGGGATTATAAAAACACTTGCGGTATACGTAGCATGCGTACATCTGGCAGCTTCTTGAATTTGTAAATCCTCCCTCGGGACTACATCACTGGGGGTGTGTCATATAGGGATACTTAAGGGTCCATCGGTGAACGTACAAAGCTTCATGACGAGTCCTTTTTGAGTACTTCTTGAAGGAGTCTTTATGGACCGCATCGGGCTGAGATTTACGTTTGAAGAACCGTTTGAGGGTTCACGCGTAATCACCTCTCCCTCCAAAACGTAGAAACTTGTTTTATTCTTTAGGGGAAGGGAGGGTAATGGCGGAATGTGGTCTAAAAGATCGAGCGTTTACGGCAAAGAAGCCTGCTTCTTTTCTGGGTGCCCACCCTGTAAAAGTGGTCCAATACGAATATAATAGGACCCTAGTATACTCCTTATTGTCCAATAAAATCAGTATTACTGGGTGTGGTGTCCACCTTATCCTAATCCCGAATCTCTAGACCCTTATATCGCAAAGTGGAACAGCAATGTGAATTTCTGTGAGGCCTTAGTTTTTGGAGACGACCCCGACGAATCTTACCCCCTGCTGAATCCCAATACTTAGACCTAAAACGAGATTAGCCCCACCCACCCACCCAAAGCGATTACAGTTTCTCATGCGGTGATTTTAGTTTCCACTGCTTGAGAGCTTTTGGTTTGAGGGTTTCAAGGTTAAGGGCATCAGGGTTCTAGGTTTTACGCAGGGTCTAGAGTTCAGCATGCATGGTTTGTGAATTTTAGGGATGTAGTTCCTGTGCAAAGCATCATGTAAATTTACATCCTGTTTTGTATGATCGAACAGGAGCATGGTTCCATGGTTCCCGACTCCCTCCTTTATGTTGCCTGACTCCTGCCCTGCATTCTTCCGACTCTCGCCCTCGTGTTTCCTGACTCCCAGGCCCTGACTTCCTTTCATAATGAGTGACTTCGACAGCGCCCGCGCCTTTCGGTTCTTCTTTTTTTTCTTTTTTCCGACACCTTAGCATGGAACGGAGGGCTTCTCAGACGGGAGGAAATACAGGAAGCATGCAAAGGATTATAGATGAGTGGATGCTGAGCAAATTCGAACAAGTCCCACCCCGATTGGTCACATCGGCAACCTTCAATCCAGTGGATGGATTGGGAGGGACCTCCTTGCATGTTTCCAA